CCCCCCCCCTTCCGTGGAGGTAAGGGGGTGGGTCACATATACAGGACTGCCAAGCGTCTCCCAAGGCAGTGTTGCCAGATCACTGAGGCTTTTCAAACGTAGTTCTGGCCGGAGCGTCGTACTTGTAAGACTCTTCCCTCCCTAGGAGGAAATTTTGGGCCCCGTAACAGAACAAAATTTCCTATTACTCGGGCTTACCAGTGCCCTTCTAATAATTACTAACTGATGCACAGCTGAGATTTGTACCAGGGGCTTTCAGTATGTTCATCACACATGTTTTTCCCATGGTAACATGTTCAGTTCTTGATTCTATTGCTTACTGACAGGCTGGTATAAGAATTGTTATTATTTTTATCAAGTAATAGCATCAATTTTTGTAGCATGTGAACATGTTCTACCTACTGTCAGATGTCACTATGGAATGCTTAATATTCCATCTTCATATTAAGGAGGTCATGGATTTGAAACCTAGTCCAGAAACCACCTGTCCTGACAGAGGTTTCTAGTGGCTTTGCTCAGTACATCCAGGCAAATGCTAGGATAGCACTTGAAGTAAGCCATGACTGCTTTCTCTCACATATTTCCAAATTCATCATTCACAAATCATCAGACCATTCCTCAATGTGTAACATGAAACCAAGAATATCCTGTTCTCAACCATACACTAAGAATGCAGTTCACTGTAATTTTGTGAACGGGTAAGTACCTTATTTGTTCACAATTTTATATCCACTGTTTTACTGTTTAAACTCTTACAGTTGCTGACTATCTTATGGAACTGGTTCAGAAAAGCAACCTGGGTCTTCAGCTAGGGTTAGTCCAGACAGCATATGCAAATGGAAGCTCCACCAATTACATATCCAAAACATTGGTAAGATATCTTCTGTATATAATGTTAAGTAAGGAGAAACCCTGCAAGATAAAATTGTGGAAGAAATATTCTGTAATTGCAAATGGAGGGAACACTTAATACAGAAGTGAAAATAATTTACTTTTAGTACCGGTTCTAAGCAGATACTCTGAGAAGAAGTGTTAAAGGAGTTTAAAGACAATTTCAAAGTGGTTCGGTGTTTTATAAATGTTTTCTCCATGATTATCAAAGAATCTAAAAGAAATAGGTGATGATTTTAGTTGGTCTGGCTCAGTAAGTGATGGAAACAGCACATTCAGACTTGTATACATCTCTGCTGAAGCACCAATAAAAGCATTTGTCTGTCAGTCTCTCTGTATGATTGATGCATTGGTGGTAAAGGGCACAGATTATCCTAGTGGGGTCCACATAGTTCCCTGACCCCAGTGGTCATTGTATTTCTATCAATGGGAGTAAGGTGTTCAGCTGGAGATCACAGAAGAATGCAGCCTGTTTATTTAAAATGTTCTTGTCAGCCCAAAATGAGCCTGAAGGTGATAAAAGAGAGTACTGTGTAACATGAACAGTAAATCTTTTAAAATATGAAAACTTAACATAAATTTTCCCCATTTTCCTTAAATATAGGCCTTGAGGGGTGGGGGGGAAGTTACAAAAATGTGTATAGTATCGGATAATAATGCCCACATGTAATAAATGATTATATATATATATATATATATATATATATATATATATATACACAGTCTATATATCACAGTACCAATATCAGGATATCACATAATTTATAGTATGTAGTATAAGGGTCATGGACATGAGACTATGAGACTTGGAACGTGGAATGTCAGAAACATGTATAGGGCAGGTTTGCTCAGGGCAGCGGCAGAAGAAATCTTAAAATATAAGTTAGATTTAGTGGGAGTACAGGAGGTCTGGGACGGAGAATATACATTTTTCTATGGAAAGGGGAATGAAAATCATGAATTAGGTAAAGGCTTTTTCATACAGAAGAAAATCCTGTCATCAGTTACAAGGGTAGAGTTTGTTAGTGATAGGATATCATATTGTGACGTGTATGGCGTAGTGGGAGGTGGGGGTCGTGTGAACTCTGTGATCTCGCGAGTGACGTCACATACCCCCACTCCGTCCATCAGTGTGCAACGCTCGGTAGACAACCCTTTCCCTGCGGTGACGTAACATGGGACGCCGCAGTTGCTACGTAGCCGTGAACAACTCCCGGCAGCGCTGCCCAGCAACGCCTTTATAAACACTGCGGGGAGTCCATGCAACGACTGTTCCTAGGCAGTCAGTAAACACAACGTTATGCAACAGTGGTGCTTATTACGTAACTGTTTTCTGTGTTGTCCGTAACGGGGCTAAATAAGGAGCAGCGAACAATATTCACAGTTAGTTACTAGTTAGCCAGCAGTGAGTCAGTGAGTTATGAGTTAGCCAGGGAGTCAGCAGTGAGCAGTTAGAAGTGAGTGAGTGATCAGCAGCCGCCGAAGACAGTTGAAATGTAGCCGTCACCGTAAACAGTTGAATTGGAACAGTCACTGAGTTCAGTTGTAGCGGAAAGAAGAATATCGGAACGTGTGATTAGAAGTGATAGTGTGAGAAGCAGATGCTTGGCTCACAAGAGAAGTAATTGGGAGTGTGTGACACAGAGACACTGGAATAGCTCCCGTATCGTACTGTGAATACGTGTAGACTACTGAGGACTGGGTGAACAGATTATTGTGTAGGGTTGTAAATTCTTTAAGCCCGTAACAATGTCATACGCAATTGTAGCCGAGACTTGTAGGTTGTTAAATAAACCAGTTAACAATCTGAAGGCGTCTTCAGTGGCAAAAACACGTTACAATATATAATACAGGGTGGGACGTTGAAACTTCCTTTCTGTGAAGACGCATTGTGAAGGGAGGGGAGGTAGCAGAAAAGTGGCAATAGGCTCGGCGAACACAGCAGTCACGGAAGTTTCTGTCTAATACCCCTCAGTAGGAAACATGAGGTGGATGAGTGAGCAGCGTATGTTTGCTGTTGAAGCCTATTTTTTTAACAACCATTCCTACGTGGTGGTTCAGCGTGCATTCCATACTCACTTCGGAATTAAGCCCAGAGGTCCGATTCCCGACCAGAAATCGATTGTTTTGTGGGTAGAGAACTTTAGGACAACCGGGAGTGTGGTGGAAAAAATCATCAGGATGACACCGGACTGTTACGACACAAGAAAATGTGGAGGCAGTTCGACAGTCGATTTTGAGATCTTTTTCGAACCAGCTCTTGAAGAAATGCATCTAGGAAATGTCTGGTTCAAACAGAATGGTGCCCTGTACCACACAGCCCGAGCTTCAATGACAGTTTTGAGGGCAAAGTTCCCCGGATGGCTCATCTCGCTTCGAGGTGACATCCTGTAGGCAGCACACTCCCCTGATCTAATGCCCTGTGACTTTTCTTTATGGAGATACCTCAAGGCAGAGGTTTTTAAACATCGCCCCACAGCTGAAAAATGTTTTTCGGCAGGAAGTAGCCCAAATTCCGGTGCACATGTTGGAACATGCAGAGGGGAACTTCAGAAAATGGTTGCATCAGTGCATAGACAACGGTGGCCACCACCTTCTAGATATTTTGTTAAACCTATATGATTTAAAACTTTAAAGTATGTTCTTTCATTAGCTAAACATAAATTTTGTCTATTGGCAATAATTTTTCTTTTATTTGCCTTCAAAAAAGGAATTTTCTGCGCCCCACCCTATACTAAAAGGTCACTAGTGTGATATCATTGTTATGAATGTTGACGCCCCAACAGAAGATAAATTGATGACATAAAGGACAGGTTGTATGAAGAACTAGAACATGTATTTCATAAATTCCCAAAGAACCCTATGAAAATTTTGTTAGGAGATTTCAATGCCAAAGTAGGGAGGGAATGCATTTTCAAACCAATGATTGCGAGATTGGA